TATTCCCCTCGTCTTCAAAGGTCTTTCCATTTCTGGAATGTCAACGAATCGACTATGTACATGATGATGATAATAATAAGAACTAATATTTATTGAGCTCTGACTATTTGCCAAACCCTTTTCATGAATTATCTCATTTGATCCTCACAGTAACCTTCGGAAGAAACAATGATTATTACCAACATCCTTCAGGAGAGAAAACTCAGAGCAAATTCTCTGTCCTTCTGTGTCCTCACCTTTTTCTGCTCTGACGTCGCCAAGCCAAACAATCCCTGCAACCCATGTTTGAAGGGCAGTTCAGAATATTTGTTTCAGCTTTTATTAAATCTTAAGGCCCGCCGGGCATGGTAGCGCTCACCTGTAGTTCCAGCTACTCGGAAGGCTGAGGCGGAAGGATCGCCGGAGCCCAGCAGGTCGAGGCTGCGGTGGCCGGGAGCGGCCACTGCACTCCAGTCTGGGCGACAGAGTGAGACTCCAACTCAAAAAAAAAAAAAAATCTTAAGGCCCACCTCCCTTTGAAGAAGCAGGTGGATGGAGTAGCTGGGCTTTAGTGTCAGAGGCACACGGATGGTACTGGCTAGAGTGATCGAGATGTCAAGCAGGGGGCACGTTGGCTAAGATAACCCCCTGCAAGACGAAATCGGAACCCTCAACACCCCAGCAGCTTCCTGCACCAACACCCACTCTTGTTTTAATCTCTGCAGACCTTAGTATGAGGCAATTCAGCAGGTCCTGACTTGGCAGGCTCTTGGCTTTACATGTCATGATTAGAGGCCTCCTCTTAAATGGCTACTTTTCCTCGGAGAAGAACCTAGAGTTTTGGTGGTCTTCCCATCCATTCTCCTCCCCTCCTGCCTATCTGTCCTCCCCTTCTGCTTGGAGCTCACGCCTTGAACATCACCCCAGGCACCATCATTCACTGACCCACCTTCTCTTTTTTTTTTTTTTTTTTTTTTTGAGTTGGAGTCTCACTCTGTCGCCCAGACTGGAGTGCAGCGGCCGCTCCCGACCACCGCAGCCTCGACCTGCTGGGCTCCGGCGATCCTTCCGCCTCAGCCTCCCGAGTAGCTGGAACTACAGGCACGCGGTACCATGCCCGGCTCATTTTTTAAAAATTTATTGTAGAGATGAGGTCTCGCCAAGTTGCCTGGGCGGGTCTCAAACCCACGGGCTCAGGCAACCCACTCACCTCGGCCTCCCAAAGCGTGGGATTACAGGCTGAGCCACCGAGCCTGGCTGACCCATCTTCTTTGTCTGACCTCTCTGCACTAACAGTGCCTGAGAGGTTTCTTTCTGAGTTTTGCAAGCAAAATATCTCAACATGCTTATGTGTTGTTATGAGAGGACATTCTTCTGAGAAAGATGAGGCAGCCACGTATTCTGGGTAAGGACCGAAGGGCTTTGTGAAGGTCAGAGGCTGAGAGGAAAAGTGAAATACCTATCTCCAAGACGTGAATAAAGCCCAAGTATCTTGGGTCCTGAGTTCATTGGCTCTACCATCCCGCCACTGAGGCGTTTAGTCTGCAAACTAATACATAAAGGTTCAGTGGGGAAAAGGAAGAGAGCTGGCGATGACTGCTTTCTAGAATCTTGCACGAGGTAATGCTGTTTTCCTGGCATGTTTATTTATTCCCCCAACCAAATACTTAGACATTCATTTCAAGGGTGCTCTGTGTGTGATCCTGTGCTTGATACCGAGGTTGGATACAAAGAAAAGGAAGGCAGCCCTCACACTGGGGACCCCCTGGGATGTTGTTTAGAGCCCGAAACACCAATATGATGAGTGCGCACCCCTGAATGGGAAGTTGGTGGGGGGATAAATGGGACCTCGGGGCAGATGATGCAGGCTCTGCACTGACCCTGAAGTCCCAGCCGGTGTGGCGGCTACAAGCAGTTTATGGTTATCACAGCAGTATTAGTTACCTTGCCTGTGGTGTAAGGTTGCTGAAATGTCTACATATATCTAACAGAAGAGACTTTATGCTTGTGTCAAAACAAAAACAAAGCTCACTCTATACATTCCTCAAGGTTAAGCTAAAATTCTGTCTCTCTTACAAAACTCTTTCAGCCCGGTCCAGCTTCTAATACTTCAGCCACCACAGGTAATGACTTAAAGGGGGATTTCTCTAATCCTGGCAGAAGGCATCCATCCTTTCCTTTCAGTGACCTCTATCTGGCTGATAGGACTATGAGATCCCTTTCATACCTAGACTAGGGCAATAACCTAGTTGGTCTTCAGGCCTTCGGCTTGCTCCGCCAACATGCCTTGTTCTTACTTCCTCGCGGCTTGTTCTCTTGTCAACTCTTCTGTGGCAGTGTGTCCCATACCTTCACTCGCTTGGCAATGCTTGCTGAGAGCCTATCACATGTCAACCTGATAACAGGCAAGCAATCAGGTTTCCGGATGCATGTTGCAGTCTCCTGGGTGGACGTTGTCGTCTACGGGGTGAAACATGCATGTTGCAGTCTACCGGGTGAAAACGTACCTGAAACAAGTACTGGTCATCCTCAGCAACTGCAACAACAACCTACTTCCGAATAATCAGGAACCGTCCCACAAACCAAATGAAGTATGGTTGTTCTAAAAATGACCCTTAACTGGAAATGCCCGTGTAGAATTTCTAGACTCAAAGCTTTTTTCGTAGCCATGAGAAAGTGGACAAACTATGCTAATAGACGGAGCAACTAGAACTTGTACACATGTGCAAAAGTGAGCCACAGATTGCTGTATCTTAACAAATTATCTCTGTCGAGAATAAAAGAAAACAGTTATGCAACCCACGTTGCTTCTTTTGAGGAAGTTGGAATCAGGCCAACTATCCTATCTTTTTCTCCTCTTGGGTCACCATTTTGAGCTAATGGTTTGGATGGGTGCTCTGGCAGCTGAGCTTGGAGTCCCACCCAAGATGCCAAATTTATGCTTGCTAATAAGAAAGCAACAAAGGAAAAAGCACTTAAAATCCCCAAATATGAATCATCCAAAAATACAGAACCAACCACTCATTATTCATATGTGGATTATCTGTGGCAAATGTGCAACCCCAGTCTGGGTTCCTCTTACCACCCAGCGTGCTCCTAGGCCAGTCTCCCCAGTCATCCTCTGTGAGGTCTGCCCATTCTTCCAAGGCCAGCTCAGATAGCACCTTCCATGGCCGTCCAAAGAAAAGGTTACCTTCCTTAATAAAAATCCACCCCAGAATCCTCAGAATTGGCTCTGGAAATATATCTCAGTGAGAAAGGAAACCAAGTATAAGCCTCAGCGGATGTTGTACCTGGAATCTTTCTCCATGGTGTCTCTCATGACATGTGGCTGCCCCAGCTCCACTGGCCTCTAAAGTTGGGAGGGAAAGAGAGTGCTTCTCCCTTAATACTCTGGTCCAAGCACCAACACAGAATCCTTCTCTGAGTTCTTCCCAGCACAGCCAAGGAAGGGCTAGGCTTTCCAGACTCTGTTCTGCTAAGGCCTGGTGACAACGTTAGCATCCATGACAATTGCTTCTGGTATCTGCATCCTGGCCTTTAAAAAAAGGTTCTGCTCTTCCAAAAGAAGCTGGGGGCCACTGGTGTGGCCTCTCGTGTATTTGCACTTTTATGGAAATAGACAGAAATGCAGAAAAAGAAAGAAATGAATAAAACATATTTACTTTTGTATACCTGAGATAATGCTCTGAGTACTTCAATTTTCTACCCAGAGAAAAGACATACTCCTTCCTTAAGTGTCTTTTTTTCCCTCTAACTTTGAAATCCAGCCCAATGATTAGCAGATTACAAAATTAGAAAAGCATTTCCTGATACAGTCTAATAGAAGAGTTATGTTGGGGGTGGAGTGAGACACAGTTGGGTGTGGTTATTAACCCTGTGGCCTCTGGCGACCGATGGCCTGGGTACATTAACCCAGCTCCAGCTCCCAGGCGGTGTGTGCCTTGGCCAAGGAACTTATGCCCTCAGTTTGCTCATCTATAAAATGGGGTGATAACAGCACCCATCTCATGTGATTGGCACAAGAATTAAATAAGGTGTTCCACTGAAGACAGTTTTTCCACGGACCAGAGTGAGGGAATGATTTCAGGGTGATTCGAGCACATTGCATTTATTGTTCACTTTATTTCTATTATTATTACGTTGTAGTATATAATGCAATACATAGCACCGCCGCCTATCCGGTGGTGACGGGAGTGGCTGTAAATACAGATGACGCTTCACTCGCTTACTTGCCGCTCACCTTCGGCCACAGACCAGTACCAGGGCCCGGGGGTTGGGGACCCCTGCCATGGCAGACTCAGAACAATGTCTCCCACATTTTAAATATTCTGTAAAAATTAGACACATCACTGTATCCTCTTATTAAAGGAAGAACGCTGTTAGCCACTGCTTTTCAGACCAGTTCTTCTTCTTTTTCAAAGGTTTCATACAAAAGATGCTTTATAAGTGTTGAGGTTTTCTCCTGGAGTTTAAAGATTCCTATACTCCAGGAACACATCTCATGATCCATCCCTACCTGCTCCACCTCTGAGGCTGGACAAAGCCTTGCCCCTTCCTGAATTCTGTGAGGACATTCTCCTTGGAAGCAGTTTTTGTTGTTGTTGTTGTTGTTTTTCTTTTCAGTTGGAGTCTCACTCTGTCGCCCAGACTGGAGGGCAGTGGCCGCTCCCGGTCACCGCAGCCTCGGGCTCCGGCGATCCTTCCGCCTCAGCCTTCCGAGTAGCTGAACCACAGGAGCGCGCTACCCTGCTTGGCTGATTTTTGATTTATTGTAGAGATGAGGTCTCGCCAAGTTGGCCAGGCAGGTCTCGAACCCGCGGGCTCAGGCAATCCACTCACCTCAGCCTCCCAAGGCGCGGGATTACAGGTTGAGCCACCTAGCCCAGCTGGAAGCAGTTTAAAATGCCAAGGTCCAAATAGAGTAGAAGTGACGTGGGCTGCGGCGCATCTGCCCCTTGTGGGCTAGGAGGGAGGTTCACCCGCAGGGTAACCTGTGTTCTCGTCTCTGTCTCCGACAGCTGTGTGGGAAGGAGTTCAACCGCATGCACAACCTGATGGGCCACATGCACCTGCACTCAGACAGCAAACCCTTCAAGTGCCTCTACTGCCCAAGCAAATTCACCCTGAAGGGGAACCTGACACGTCATATGAAAGTCAAGCATGGAGTCATGGAGCGGGGCCTTCATTCTCAAGGTAACCCCTCTTCCAGGAAGCCCGTGCTGCTGGGGCAAGCCAACAGGCAACACATGGGAGCTGAATTTGTTTTTAAGGGACATTACTTTGTTGGGAAGCTAGTCTTGTCAAAAAGGGGAGTGTGATTTTCAAGACTGCAGCGGAGTAGCAAGAGCAGACTTACAGTGTTACTAGAAAAATTATGATGCTAATTTCTGAAGACAGTAAAGACAAGTGAGTGAGAGTAAGTCGGAACATAATAATGATGCCAGTCAGTCAGGACCATTATTGATTCCTTTGTTCCGGACAGAGAGCCAGGTGCCTTGTCTCTGGAGGCTGGAGGAACTTCCAATATCTCTATTTTACAGAATGGACAGCTAAGGCTTTAAGAGATTAATTTGCCCAAAGTTGATCAACTGAAAAGTGGCAGATTCAAGATTGGAACCCAGACCTTTCTGACTGTATAGCCTTTATTGTATCTACTTCATAGCATTGCTGTTGAAAGGCATGGGATTTTTCTTTCCTTTTTAGAAAACAGGTCTACAAGCCCTGCTGTCAGCAGAAGTGTGTTTACGGTGGACTGTGTCTCCCCTGCCTGTTCACAACCAAATACACCCAAGGACAGCTTTCCTGCTTGGGTGGTTTGAGCCGATTGGCCCACATGCGGGGCAGGGGCTTACGCCTTCCCCGAATGAGTCCTAATTGAAGCAATGGAAAGTCCTCGCCTGCCTCAGCCTCTCAGTTCCAGGGCCTTTCACTATGAAGAGTTTATGTTCCAGATCTGCTGAATTCAGTAGGGTTCCACCTTAGTCACCTAATCAACCACTCTTCTAATAAACAGGCAATAAATGCACCTCCAGCCAATGCAGTGAGCTACACACAGTGGCAGATACAAAAGCACGAAACCATCTTTGCCCTCTAGGAGATCTGCATGCGGGCAGAGAAGACAATTTTGCATGTTATTTACAAAATCATATTAACTGCTTTTTGATCACTAGTGTGAGACACCTCAGGGACATTGTCACCCACCCCTAAAATTCCATGAAAGAGGCTGTGTTATTCTCCTTTTATATAAGAGGAAACCAGGGCCTAGAGGTATTATACAAACTGTTCAAGGTCAACTGGCAAGTCTGAAGGCAGGAATGGGATTTCAACTCAAGAATTTCTGAATTAAGTGTGTGCTCACCACCCAAGACAAAACCATGGGATAATATGTGCTTGCTGCTTCTCCCAATCCCTTACAAAAGAGCTAGGCGAAAGGGCATGTATATTTGTAAATTTATAAATACATTGCACCTATATACACACAGCGTGCAACAAAATGATTGCATCTTTTGGGTTTTTCACAGCACCCACTGAGACCAGGGCGACTCTTGGGTGATAGGGACCTGTGGTCACCACAAAACAAGGGCTGGAGTCTGTGCAAGAGCACAGGAAAAAAACTCTGCTTTAAAAAACATTATCCTGAATTCTTCCTTGAACCTCTAGCTGCCTGAGTCACTTCCCAAGCTAAGCCTGGCTTTTTTCCAGAAGAGGTAACGTTTGCTTGCCGATAGGACAGCAGATGTACAAGGCAGTGAGGAGACAGCACTCCGTCCGAGAGCCTGACCTGGTCACCATGACCCACGCTGATGTTCAAATCCTAAAGGCACCAAATGGCCCTGTCATTCTGGAAGAGTAAAGAGCATCACCTATCAGAAGATCGCTTTGAAATATTTTAGCGGACTTTCAGTGATTTCCGTGTTTTCATCTACAAAGGGTGTTAGCATTCTTTTGGCTCTAGTTTTTGCAGTGGTCCAAAAATCATTAAAAAGATCTTCCCTGTTCTCCAACAGATTAAAGATATAGGCAGCTCCACTGCCTGACAGTATCCTAAAGTAGGCAACGTTGGGCATCACAGGCCCTATCCCTCCTTTTTGCTCCCCCCACCACTCCAGAAGCCTGGTCTGGCTGTGACCCGGGACCTCTCCTTCCGGTTCCTCCTCTTCAGTGTGCTGGCCTGTTCCTTGGAGCCTGCTTCTTGGCTCTGCACAGGCAGGGCTCAAATCCTAAAAGGCACCTGATGGCTCAAATACTAAAATCCTGTGTTGTTGGCTTCCCAGAGGCAGAGCCCTTAAGGACAGATCACATAAAACATGACCGTGCTGAAAAGCTCATCCCCAGAGCCCCACAGATGGAAGCTAAAATTGAATCACTGGTTCCAACAGCAGGGACATTTATGGTTAGACACAGGGCCTGTATGAGCTTCTCAGAGAACCTTTGTGCCTACTCTGCTCTGTCTGTGCATAGGGGCCGCTATTATGGGGTGACTTTCATGACTCAAAATGAAACCTCTTTGTTTTCTTCAAGATGAGAATACATTTATTATTCCTTTGCTTTTTTTCTTATGATAAAATAGATGCTCACTGTAAAAAAACAAACAAGAATGCATTAGAAGTGAAAAGAAAATGTTCATCAATTTTGAGATTTTGACATATTTCCTTCCAGACATCCTTTGATACAGATAGATGAGAGAGAGAGAGAGAGAGAGAGAGTTGAGTCTGCGCTGTAAATTATTTAACTTAAAATACATAGCGAGTACCTTCTTAGGATCACTGGTAGGTTTTCTACATCATCTGCACATGGTTCATTATGTGGATATATCATGATTTATTTACCCAAACCTCTATTGTTAAATACAAAAATCACTTTCACGGTTTCGCTGTAATAAAAAATGTGGTGATAAGCATCCTTGCACATATGTTTTGTGCACCTGCCTGCCTATTTTTTTGCTGTTTAAATTCTCAGTAGCATAATTGCTAAGTCAAAGCTTATTTTTAAAGCTTTTGGTGCGGGTTGCCAAAGTCACCTTTAAGGGATGAGACCAATTTAGACACTGTGACAAACCTCCCATGCCCACATCCTTACTGGGAATTGTCGATTTTCAAGAGGCACCATGAGGATACATTCAGTAGCCCTGGGTTCCACCCCACCCCTCCCCGGGGTCCCCTCGCCACTGCTTTTTCTGGGTGTGTGAATTCTCACTGTGCTCTCCTAGGTTTGGGAAGAGGCAGAATGGCTCTCACGCAGACCGGCATCCTCAGGAGTCTGGAGCAGGAGGAACCCTTTGACCTCTCTCAGAAGCGCCGGGCCAATGGGCCCGGGTTCCAGTCGGATGGGGAGAGCGCCAGGGGAAGCCCCTGCCATGAGGAGGAGGATGAGGACAACTGCTGTGAGGTGGAGCCCTGTAGCCCCAGCCCGGCCCCCCAGAACCAGCCGCTCTGCGCACCCCAGGATCTGTCTGCCAAGCCCGAGCAAGCTCCCGGGGTGCTGGGGGAGGCCTGCAAAGAGGAAGAGGAGGAGCACATGTCCAAAGGCGAATGGGCTGAGAGGCGCAAAGGCGACCTTGGGGCGGAGGGCGGCCAGGAGAGAGGTTGTGCTGGCAGAGATGAGCGTCTCAGCCTCAGGGCTTTGCAGAGCTCCCGGCGGGGCCCCTCTTTTTCTGATTACTTGTACTTCAAGCACAGAGATGGGAGTTTAAAAGAATTACTGGAGGGGAAAATGGAAAAACAAGCAGTGCTTTTAGGTATCTAAGTGGACAGTTTCAAAATCACATTTGGAAAATGAGGACGAGGCCGTTCCAGTATAGCTTTCTGCATGAACTGTCATTTGCTGAGGACTGGTGGGTGGTGCCAGTCTCCACAGATGGCTCGGATTAAGTGAGCAGGGACCATCATAGGGGATGTAAATGCTTCTCAGGTTATTCACGGGGCCCTTGATACTTTTCACACATGTGCGGGGTCTTCTTCTGTGTTATTTTATGCATTGCCAGTGTCATAAACTGTGCATACTCTTCTAGATAGCTAACTGTAAGCTGGTGCTGAGGTGCTTAAAAATTCTATTTTCCTTGGACTAATAGGCCATACATGGTAAATTTCTACTTGCAAAAATATGGTGCTTGACACATTACCTTATTGATGTCTATTTAGTTGAATTCCTGACAGTTATATTTTTCCAGATAGATGAACATAATATTAGTAGCTGTATATATAAAATAGCCTTTATTAAATGACCAAAAATATCAGACATGACACAGAAGAATGAGCTGTTGAAGAGGACGTTCTCCAGTCATTGCTGTGGATGCAAGATAAAATTTCAGAAAATGAATAATTTTGACGTAGGGAAAACCAGCAATGCATAGATTCCTGCCTGAGATACAGAGATTCTCTTGTTCAGGGTCAGCTGTCTTCACTGGATGGGATATTTGGAGCTGATTTTCAGATGATGTCACAGCGCTAGGGGTCCTGGCTCCTTAACAAATGCTGTGCCCCAAGCAGAGTTCCCTCCTGGAGATGACGGTTGCTTTCTTCTGAGGCCTCACACCCCATAAGGCAGCTGCAGGAAACGTTGTCACCCATGAGCTGGGAAACTTACCTCAGGGTAGAGCTAGTGGGGTGTCCTCAGGGAATTCTCCCTGAAATCTAACCTCTGACTTACGACTTATTTGGGGGTTTTGGAATAATCATCCACTAATCACAAGTAAGGAGGACTCTGGGTCATGTTCTCACCGATGGCTGTCCACAAGACTCATCTGGGAGAGCCTTTTTTTTAGAAGTTTTCAAGCAGAGTTTATTTAGAAAGCAAATTAGAGAGAGAGAGAGAGAGAAAGAAGAGTCACCTCCCCAAGGTAGGGGAGGGGGCCAAAACTAAGAAAACGTGGCGGCCACAGCTCAAAGATCCATGTGGAGACAGCAGCGGTTACCAAAGCATTCGGGAGAGCCTTTTAAAAGCACCCAGCCATGGCCTACCCAACTTAAGTTCTGATTCGATTGGTCTGAAGTGGAGCCCCAGGACTGGTAGTTTTCAAATTGCCCCAGTCAAAGCTGAGAAAGACTATAGGCAGCCAAAGATGAGAAAGATTGGGCTAAAACAGTCCTCACCCTTCCAGGACCCCTCCCAACAACTCTAGAAATATTTCTGTTCCTGGTCTCAGACTTACTAAGGGAGAAAACAGGAGACCTCACAGTTGTACTGCTGACCTCGGCCTTCTTACCTGTTGTGTAAGACCCTCACAAGGGGTCACACACACACTCTGTATAGATGAATATTTTTTGCGCTAGACAATGATGCCCATGATGTTTATGGTCACTTAATATGTTGAAAAGTACATGGCTGGTCTGTGGTAACTATTTCTTCCCATGTGCTTGGACCACGATTCCAGAGAGTGACGGTGACTGACAGGTCGGCTGGCCCAGGAGGAAGGCCTTACTTGGACACTGGCACTGAGAAAAGTAACACTGATGCAGCGCCGCAGGTGTGTGACTGCCTGTAAGAAATGACTCTCTGGTACCATGTCTGTGTCCATGTAAAAACTTGGTAGTTGCAACTCTCACCTGTAGAGCTAGGTACTGTTTGTTGTTTTGCTTCCTCCTCTCCCAAACTTTGAGTACCTTTCTTTAGAAGGTGTCTCTGTCTCCAGCTGCCAGGGGCCGGCCTTTCTGTGGGCCAAGGTGCTTGCCCACTGGCCTCGTCTTGGTCTTCCTCACTGACCCATATCTCCTGCCACTTTGCCTAAATAAAGCTCCTTCCTTCATACTCACTGCCACCATGAAGTGCTAAAGCTACTTTGTCCTGAGGTCAAAGCACCTACAAACGGGACGGTGAAGAGAAGACTGAAGATTTTCATGGTCACAAGCACAACTCTGGGCCAAGAACCAGCTCCACGTTTTCAGAGGGGCACATCCTTTCCATTCACGGTTATTAAAGCTCATCAGTGCCTCTGGTGAAATTGCCCAGGAGGTTGGCAGAATAGCCTGTGAGGCCTCCAGTTCTTAGGGTCTGGTTACACATTTATTCATACAGCAGATGTGTGTTGAAGCCCTACTGAGTGCTGTGCCTGACCCCACGTACTATAGGCTGCCAGTTTGTTCTGGGTATGCCTAGCTGAAATAGGAACCGGGAAAATCCAGAGTAGCAAGTTCTGGATCTTTCTAACCAAAACAAATCACGTGAGGATGTTTGAGGAACCAGTTAATGTTGAGATGGAAAGAGTACGGTCTAGAATGGTGGTTTTCCAGTTGTGTTTTGAGGAGTCAGAGGTTGCCCTTAGGCCCCAGCAGAGCAGCTAGAGAGGAGAAACTCTCAGACCCCACACCCAGGCACTCAGGGCGGCTCAAGAGTTTCATCTGATTTGTACATTAACATTCCAAAGAAAATTTCATTTGGAGGGGGAAAATGTCTAGGAGAAGTAACAGAAAATTGTTATGGAGTGTATTCCAAGGCCTGTTTTTAGGTTTTGACTCTGGATATGGAAGACTTAATTAGATCTAACCTGATGGGAACCTTCTGAGAACCAAGCCTGAAACCATGGTTTCATATTTTGTTGAGGGACCAACATCCTGGTTTATATCTATTGCCCCAGGATAATTGCTAGTAGTGGCACTTTCATTCTCAAGAGTATCCTAGCTTGGGTGGGTAATTACACAGGCAGCCCATGCATGAGCACAGAGCTAGGGGAAGATTGGCCAACCTCACCCAAAGGCAGGCCTGAAGGAGAACCCACCAGGAGCATGTCAGAGAACTAAGCGATGAAGCCTTCCGAGCTAACAGCACCCCAAGGCCAGGACAGCAGGATGCTTATCACATTGTGACTCTGAAAACAGGTCACTACCAAATGCTTTCCAGAAAATCCTTTTTGGTCATTCCCTCTTGTTACCTTTCAATTCTTCTTTCATTCTCTCTTTTTAAAAATTTGACTCCACATTGGCCAGGAGACTGAGGATGACCTTTCAGAAACCCACATGAATAACTGGTATATTTGTATATGAGTAGTTGCATGAGAAAGCCCAATGTGCATACTGTATTTATTAAGCCCTGAAGGCATTTCATAAAATATTAACATTGTGTTTTGAATTATGATCTTTGCTTTGCTGGAACAAAATGTAATAGAGCTAACATTTAAAATCCCTCACATATTTGGACAACATTACACCAAATGTTGATTTTTGTACAGAACTCTGGCTTACTATGTAAAAACTAAAACTCTAAGTATATAGCAGCCCAGGTTGTGAATATTGCTTTCTGCTTCGGTGAAAAGGCAATTTACATGAAAATAGCATGTAACCTATATTTTGTTAATTTAAGCAAATAAAGACGTTGGAAAAAGCTGAGTTAATTATTTGCAAATACCTGAAATTTTGCAAGGAAGCTGCCATTGTCAACATCCCACTCCTGCCATTGTACCCTCTGCCAGGGGGGTTCCCAGAGGTCAAGTCCTCAGCCCTAGGGACACAAGTGCATGGAATGTTCCCTCCTTCTGGACTTCAGAAAGGGATTCATGAGCCTCAGTCATCTGCAGACAGGTGATTCCCCATTCTGCTCTTCTTTCCTGTGCAGAAAAATTAGTTCTGGAAAGTGTCACTTGCAAGTGGGAGGTGAGAGGCGGGACTGTCTCATTCTGCCTCGAGTTCTTTGTAAAATACAGTGCAACCAAGAGACAGTTGACTCTCTAAGCAAGAGCACCGATGCTGCTCCCAGGCTTCCTGGATTCAGAGCCCAGCTCTCTCACTTCCAATCTTTGGGGGCTGAACCTCTCTTTGCCTCAGCTTTCTTATCTGTAAAATGACACTGGAACTGTGTTGTTGGGTGGGTTAAATAACTTAATATAGACAAGACCCTTGGAATGTGCCTGCCTCAAGTCTATGCTACGCCTGAATTAGGCATTGTTATTGTCAACTATGCGGCCAGACAACTGAGCCATGTTTTCCTTCCTCAACAGAAAATTCCCAAATCTGTGTCAGTACGGGAGAGTGTCCACTTCTGGGGAGCTTCCCTTAAAACAGCAGTAAAAAAAAACGGCAACACATACTGAAGCCCTGTGGCATACTCCATCTCATTTAAGCCTCACACAACCCTGTGAGGCAAACAGCATCCCCGTGGTAAGGAAGTGGAAGTTCAGGAGAGTGAAATGCCTCTTCCCAAATTACCCAGCTAGCGAGTTTCTCCTTTGCCTCCAAATATAAAACCTGTAGCAGGTCGAGTTCTTTGAAAGCAGATGCTGAGACAAATGTGGATGCAAGATATTTATTAAGGATTAACATCCGTGAAAAGAAGGAAGAGGGAAATAAAAAAGTGGAACAGAGAGAAAAAACCAGCTGCAGTACAACCCCAACAAAGCATGGTGGGCAGCTCTGGGGCAAAGTCTGCCCGTCAGAGTTGCGCCACATTGGGCAGAAATGTCCAGGCCTTTACACCCCGGCCTCGCTCAGGCACCGGAGGTGGGCTTCCCTGGGAAGAGCCTGACCCTCTGTTGCCGCAGGCTGTGAGGGAACTGACAGCTAGAGGCTCTCTGCCGCCGCACTTTCATAGCTTGGTGCAAGCGCTTCCTTGAAGAGAGACTGGGTGACCATCTCTGCATCCCCCCAGTCCACTTCTTCGTGGACATTAGTGACACGGCTCCTGCAGGCTCCAGTGGGCCTCCCCTCCTGATGCAAAACGTAGGAGAGAAAGATGAGGACAGATCTCAGCCCCCGTGAGCTACAATGTGTCTAGGGACCCTCATCCTTCTCTTCCTCCACCACCCCGTGTAAACGTCCCTTCCCATCACGCACCGCCTCTGCCCGTCTCAGTGGCTTGCTTGGTGATGTCACCCAGGTCCTCATCTCCAAAGGGTCCGAGGGTCATCATGCTGCCATGGACTTAATGTTTCTGTCTCTCCCAAGTTAATACGTTGAAGCCATAACCCCCAATGAGATGGTGTTGGGAGACAGGGTTTGGGGATGTAATTAAGTTTGGATGAAGCCATAAGGATGCGGCCCTCGTGTGGTGATTAGAGGCCTCAGAAAAAGAGGTGGGGACGAGGCCCTCTCTCTGCCTCTGCTGTAGGAGGTACAGCAAGAAAACCAACGTCTGCACACCAGGAAGAGAGCCTTCCCCAGACACCGAATCTGCATCA